GGATATAGCTCGCTCACACCGAGGACCTAGTTGATGTCATCATTTACCCAGAATGCTTTGCGTGTAAATAAAATGGCTCCATCCGTGTTAAAATATATTTAAAAAATTTACAAAACTAAACAGCCTACAGTATTTTTACAGTCTATTTTACAGTTAAAATACATGTTTATCAAATAAAGTTTAATGCTACAACTAATCAGGGATCCCTTTAATCTGCTGGGGGATACTAAAAGTATCAGTTTTGTTTGGCCAAAATAAAACCAAATTCAGTTTACATCAAACCTCATTTGTAAAACATACTTAAAATCTTAAAATACTTTTTTTTTTCATTCTAGAAGCTAAATGTCAGCTTGATTTTTGCAATCGTTCTGGGATCATTGTACTGTTGGAACACCCAATTTTGTCCAAACTTAAACAGTCCAGTTGTTGATTTGAGGTTTAGTCAAAGAGGCTAAGTCAAAGAATTTCTCTATTATTCACAGCAGAATGCTACCAGTATCCTGATGTAATCTCAGTTAGTAAAGAAAATATAACTTAAATTCAGCAACTGTTGAGTTAAACAACAGAACAAGAACTAGTTCATGCCAAATAGATTAATAGAAAAGGATCTCAAACAACAAAGTAGACGATGCATTTCTTTTGCTTTTTTTATGTCTGTGGTTCATTCGATGACTGAAATAAAGTAAATTTTGCTCAAATCTGACCATGATCGCTCCAAAACTCCCCACACCTCCAGCAGGCTACATTACATCAGTCCTCTGAGGGTTGCTCCTCTGGTTTTATCCACACTCTCCCCAGTGACCACCCTGATGTCCTTCTCCCTTATTGGCTTAGTTCAACTGGATCTGACTGATGAATAAAAGGAGAAACTGATAGGAGTTTACAGTGCATGAATTATATGTAATATGGCAATAAATACATTACAGAGTAAAAATTAAGAGTTTCTGTAGTGCTTGAGCTGTATTAGTTGATTTTAGCCTGCCATATTCTTGTTGCAATCATGACAGTGTATATGTGTGCTTGTTTAGTCAGATGATGAAAGTTTCTCCTCATTTTTTCAGGCTTACACCATTCAAGGACAGTACGCCATTCCTCATCCAGACGTGAGTGCTAACCCCACCAGGCAGCCAACACTGCACTCTGTTACTTTCCCTCACTGCAACCAGAGTTCTCTCATTTCTCTCTCGCTTTCTTTCCACCCTTATTAATATTAATCAATAATATTAATACGGCTTTTTAATGTGCATTTCCTCCGTCTTCGAACTTTATAGCTTATTGCCTACCTACGCCCTTTATGGTGTCAAAACTCATGGGGCTTGGCCTAAACAAGTCAATCATTCAGCTGCACAAGTTTATTTTAAACTAGAACAATTCAGTGTAAAATGTCTAGTAATTAAATGGAGGAACTCCATTTCTTCTTAAGATGAAGGCCTAACCTCGGATTCATACTTCACGCATCTCCGCTGCGCTCCGCTACGCAGGTCGCAGGCGTGCGTTTCAAGTCCAGTTTACACTACCTCCGCTCCGTTCTGGTCCGACAGACGTGCAGGAAGCAGATCTCGAATTAAATTCAGTGATAAATGAGGAAGTCACAGCAAAAAATAATTCTATGAAAGACGAACTCCAAACACAGCTGAAAACATTGATATAAAGGCTTTTGGTATCTATGTTGAAACTGTCTCGCTGTTGGCTTTCTGAAACTTCTGATTTCAAAATAAAATCCACGTGCATCGTGTGTGTACTAGAGTTGGGCAATATTGGCAAAAAAATGATCACGATTAATTGTGGTTTTTAGCCGATAACGATTAATTTGACGATTAATCCCCTGG